TCCAGGCGAGGAGAGTGAAGGTTGAAGAGACATTCTCGCTGACCTGGAGCAGACGGCCGCTGTACCCTGTCTGAGGACAGAGGCAGCACGTCAGCCCTACAAGTTCGAAACTGCAGTTCTGCCAACAGCTTGAGGGAGCTTCACAGAGCACCCTGACCCCAGGAGGCACTGGGCCTGGTTAACACCTTGATTCTAGTCTAACGGAACCCAGATAGAAGGTCTAGGTAAGCCACGGCAGACTACTGACGCATGGAAAGTGTGAAATATTACAGGGGAGCCATTTTAAGGCACAGGTTTTGGTAATGTTATGTAAAAGGTAACTAACATGCACCCACTTCACAGATAATCTAAAGTATTAACTTGCATTCCACTGAAGCTAGTTCTGAGTGGATGATTCAGTCTCAGGTTGCCTAAGTGGAAACTGACATGGACAATTGCTTGGCTATTATTACTTCTTGAAAAATTGACGGAGGACTTGCAGGGCCATATCAGCAGTGATATTAAATACACAACAGGAAAGGTGCAGTGTATATTTGAAAACGGTCCCTCAGTTACTAAAGGTTCTATGGAAAATTATATTGAGGAGTAAGGGAACCATCTAAAAATGACATGAACAGTATAGACAAGGTTTTACTGATTGCAATTTATTAAAGAGAATCTTTTGCAAATTACCTATTGCTAAATAAATTCCATTCTTTAGATCTTCTTCCACTCAAAATAATTTCACTTTCTATATATAACTCTCTTTTTGACAGTTTTAATAAAATAGCACGTGTATTTCTTAAAGGTATCCTTTATATAATAAAGCAAAAATTAATTTTTTAAATAAAAATACTTGTAGCAAGACCCACAAGGCTAAGAGGCAAAGTAGCTTCTTTAGAAATGAAGGAGTTAACCACAGAAGCTATAAAAGTGTTTTTAAACAGGGAAATTTTCAAAAGGAATGGGTATTGTGTGGGATTGTTTTTGACATTTAGGATTTGTTCATATTTAAAAATTAAAAGGCCTTTTGGTATATTGCCGAAAGTCTTAAGACTAAATGTTCTATTGTAAACTGATAGCCTGTAAGCAATTTTATTTCAACTATAAGTTACTTTTTCTTTGTCTTTTTGAGACAGGGTTTCACTATGCAGTTCAGGCTGGCCTTGAATTTACTTTGTAGTGCAGGCTGGCCCCAAACTCACGGTGATCCTCCTGGCTCAGCCTCCTAAGTGCTGGGATAATAGGTGTGTGCCACCACACCCAGCTACATAAATTACATTTTTGTAAGATTTAATATCTAAAAGTTTTGTGTTAAGCTATTAATTAAAGCAGACCATTCTGATTTATGTCTTACAATTATGGTTAGTGAATTTTATTGAAAAATTAAATGGATGTTTAAGAGCTAGACTTTAGATCTAGAATATTGAGGGTAAACCATTCACATGCAACAGAACACCAAAATTCTGGTACAAGCTCTGCAAATGAAAGGCACATGTGTTTAGAGCCGTCCTCTACTATTTTTATTAGCTACTAACTTAATCTTCTGTTGGTAAGCTAGTACCCTCAGTTCCACTTACAATACAGTTCTAATTAAACACCTGTGAAGTATCTCATTAACCATGCAAAGTGGTCATTATAAGGAAGTCACAAAAAGCACGGCGATGATAGGACAGTAACCACCACTCAGGGGACTTACATGCAGTAATACCCTTTGCAAAACTATAGGGACACAGTTTCATCTTGCAGACGCCAGTGGAGGGAAGTAATTTGATGAAGAAGAGTGCTCATCTTGGCCTCCTTTACTAAATTAATGATTGGGGGTTTTTAATATCCATTTTCTGTACAGCAGTAAGCTCAGGTTTTTTCGCAGTGTTGGAGACCGGTACAAAGTGACTCTGAGCTGGATTTATTCTGTGTTTACCTGTGAGTTGTCTGAAGCTTAGGCACCTTGACTGAAGATGGGCAGTGGACTCAGAGTGAGTGAACCTCTGTGAGGCCCTGGTCACCTCTGAGGCCTATATTGCCCTTTGAAGCTGTGACACCTCAAAGGACAAGATAAGGCCTCAGCTGAGGACATCTGGCTCCAACCCCAATTAACTATAAGGAGACTGCAGCTGCAGGCATCTCACTCCTGCAGTGAAGGCCTTCCTGGAGGTAACAGTTCTCCTAAATTAATATAATGTATTACTTGGAGAAATCCTTGAAGGGATTCCCAAGTCCTGCCCAGATTCCTGCATTTTCTTCAGTATCCCCCTCCCTTCTTTGTAAACCAAATAAACACTGGCTACCCAGACAAGTCTTTGCCTCAACTCAGAGAATATCGAAACTGTAAGAGAGTCAGTCCCTCCTGGAGCCCTGAAATCATTTCCATTGTCTCATTTATTTAAGCCTTCACCGTCCCCTGGCTTGGGAGATTGTGGGCCTGATCAGCCTGCAATAACTAAGGGTTATTTAACCTGATAGCACAGCCTTATTGGGGGCGTGGAAACTGCATAATCTATTCTTTCCAATAGTTTATGAGAAGAAGAGTCCAACCTATGTATGCAGAATAAATCATGTTCTTAATTTTAGAATTAATGAGGACTCGATATGCTCATCCTGAGGGTTTTCTGATGCAGAATCAAAGGAGGACTAACTGAGCAGTGAGTCATTCTACTTTCACACTCAGTTGTGGGAGCCGCGGGCCATTGAAACCTCGGGCACACTTCCCCTCCTGCGAAACAAGGGTAGTTCTGACTTTATTTTAACTTCATTTCGAATGCCTTGGAGATGTTGCTCAGGATGGTAAATTGAACAGTGGCAGCTCTTTCTCATTTATTGCTTCCAGTTAATCAATATCAACTCTCCAGAGAAAAATGATACCATCTGCTTTAAAATGAAGGGAAGCACCTTTGCAGAGTGAAATGCAGAGATAAAGTAAAACAAGGTTATATGTTTTGGTAACGTTGAGTGACAATAGTCTGCTTTTAGTTTTTATGTATTTGTCTTCAGATAAATAAAGGCAAAAGGCCCAGGATACTCTCAGTTTTGACAAAAGGCCAGGCCGACGTGCTTGGCTTTCTGGGCTCCTCAAGGTGTGGCAGTGTTTGCGTGGGCAATGGAGATCACTAACCTGATACTACTGCAAGTCACAAGGAAAAAGTATTATTAGATTTGCTTTCTCCACCACACTGCCTTAACACACATTTGATTTGTGTTGTACACAAGTCAAATTGCTTGGTTAACATAGAAATTCTTGGCCATTCAAACGAATTTTTGAATTCCAATGTCTTGCTTTTGGACCAATGTATTCAAACTGTTTAAAATTCTCAGTGTTCATTAGGATGTTTAAAATTGGAAAGAAGTGTACAGAGAAAGTACAAGTAGGCAATGAAATAGCAGAAAGGCAGTAATTAGTAAACATAATTTAACACCAGACTGAGTGGAAAGCAGAGAAATAGCAATGTTTGTGAAATGCAGAGAGAAACTACTAACAACAACACCAACTGGATACCCAGATAGCGTGGGAAGGAAAGTGTAAAAGAGCACACACTAGACTGACCATGGATTGAAGTATATGCTTTCTCTTTAACTGTCTAGCTGTTGCAGTTACAGGAACTCACAAATATGAGAAGTAGGTCCTTGTTAAGGTTATAGTCTACTTTATTTTGCTTATTTTACAGTTGTTTTTTCTTTGTATTTTTTGCATGCATAGTTAATTTATATTTTTCATTCTGTTAAAAATTAATTCTTAAGACTGCAATTTCTCTAATGAGTACTAAGTCAGCCATAACACAAGTGTCCTTTTTTGTAATGCATCATGTATGATTTCGGTTCATTTTCAGTTTAGATGAGGTTTCTAGTTGTTAGATATTACTGTCATTGGCTTTAACATCTAGCAATATATTGGGAAATATTAATACAGTATCTCAGACTCCGACTATGGCTTCACCTAATCCTCTTTATATTTCTAAAAGATTTTCCTTTACATTTGTGGATTGTGCTAAGGTGTGTGCTAAGATGATTATTGCCTTTATTATATAGTCTTTGAGACTTAGTCCTGTTATCAATATAGCTTGTTTCTTTTTGTCTCCTTTATGCTTCTTTAAATTAAAAAATGGCTGACGGATGATGTTTATATTTTTATATTACTTGTTTGTTTACTTGAGGTATGTCTGATACACATTTGCAACTTTTTCTGTATAATTTCATCTTCAGTTTGTCTCGTGTAAACATCCAAGAGTTTCATTTTCTTTTATAATCCATGTAAGAGGTTTTCTGTCTTTTCATTAAAATTTTTATTCATATTTTCTGTGGTTACTAAACATTTTCTTTTTTCTTTCTTTTCTTTTGTGTCTTGGGTTTACTATTCCTTCCTTTTATTTATTTCTCATTTTTATTTAGTTCTGAAGCTTTTATTTTTTTGCAGCCAGCTTCTGAGATGACCCTTTTGACCCCTTCTCCACTTTCCTTGTTTTGTTCTTTCCTGTAGGAACTAGGACCAGTCAGTACAACCTAAAGAGCAAGGCAGAAGAGAAAGTGCAGCCGCCAGGGTTTAGCAAAGGAGGTACGTTCTCAGAAATGTGTCCTGGAGTGATTTTGTTGTGTGCACAGTGCAGAGTGTGCTTACACAAACAGAGTCTGATGGCCTCAGGATTCACTCCAGCAATGCAGTAAATGCCACATGTGTCAGGTTGTTGCTGGTGTAACATAGAACACTGCTTTGTGGTAATTTTTATGATTCAGAGGAGTACACTCTAATGACAGAGAGCAAAGCAGAGCAGATACACACATTCAGTATCAGAGTTCTTTGTCATCAAGTGTGATGAAGTGTTTATGCTGTACCGGCATTCATATGACTGGCAACACAGCACCTGCATCACCATAGACACATGAGCAATGCATTGCGCTGTGACATCACAATGGCTGTTATGACACTAAACAGCGGGGAGTTTTCAGCTCCATTACAGTCCTAGGAGACAGTGTCACAATGCTGGTCACCCAGGGTTCATCCTAATGTTGCTATGGGGCTCACAATTTGCAATCACCTCCAGTTAGAGGCTGCGCACTCCTCTCCCTTGCTTTGTCCTCTCCTCACCCATCCTGCTCTGCTCCCCTTACCTCTTTCTCTGGCGTTCTCTTCTGTCTCTCACTGGTATGACCCAGTGCCATGCTGCAAAGACACCCAGGCAGTCAGTACAGATGAAGGAAATGCAAGAACCATCATATCCACCAACGGCCAGTGAGGTCTAGCACGGGAGAAGCCTGTTTCCTCACCTGAGGGCGGCAGCCCGGTCTAATAGCACGACTGCAGCCTCGGAGTTCCTGAGCCAGAACCAGCTGACTGCACACACCTGGACTGCCGAGAGCAGATATAGTGAGACGATGTATTTCTGACTTTAAGTTGTAGAGTTTGGAAGTAATTTTCTGTGCAGGAAGTATTTATCTCTGTTGAATCTATGCCTAGAGGTTTCAAGAATCCACAACTTAATTTTACAACCAACCTCTTTTGATGTTTAACATACTGTAACTCATTTTCTTCTAGGTATGTATATGGATAGAAAAATATGATTATATATATTTGTATCCCATTGAATTTGATGGCATTTTCCACATAGTTTTACCCTCATCTTTATTTTTAACATTCTAAATTTTCCTGAGTGAATTGGAATTTTATTTCAAATGGCTGTTGATTCCTGTCTTATTGTTCTGTTTTATGATTCTTTAAAAAATTTATTTATTATTGTATATTTATCTTAACTATTTACTCATAGATTTTTTTATTGACATCTTTTCTCAGTTTTTATGGCATTTTCCACTCTGGTGGATATTCTGATTTTTTATATTGTCCTGAAATCCATTCAAATTTTTTTCTATGAAGAATATTTGAATGATACTCTAATTTTACTCTCCATGATGAATTTAATTAATTGGTACTCATATTTCAGTGATTTTTATTAATTTGTTTTAATATAAAATTCTTGGATCATATGTCTTGTCTCTCAACATCAAATAGGAATTTTAATATTATCTGCTATTAATGGCTTGTAGGTAGTAATCTAATTTTATTCTCTGGCTTATCAGTAACTTGTTTACTCTCTACAAAAACTTACAGAATATTTATTATTTTTCCAAACTTAAGAAAATTGATCAGATTCTTCTTAAGAGCATGTCTTCTTTCCCAAGTATATTTCCTTAAGAGTTTTGTCCTCTGACAACCTAAAAACTGGACTCTCTATTTACATGAAATAAAATGCTACTGTCTCTTTTGATGGCTGCTTCTACTTCTTTTCCATTTTCTTCTTCGGATTCCAATTTTAAAGATATCTTTTCCCTTGTTTCACCCTGTGTGTCACATTTTCACCTCTTCTCTTCACTTTCTCTTGATTTCCATGAAGAAGGAATCCATCAAATTAGTCTTCAAAGCATTAATTAGTCCAGCAGACTTTCTATTTCGATTTTGTCTATGAAGTTTTCAATTTTGGCAAACATCATAATTTGTAATACTCTTGTTCTTTGATCCTCTCTCTTCCTAGCAGAGTTTTCTTATCTCATAAATGAAATTTCTTCTCCAATCTTCCTATGGCCCACAAGTAGGAAAACTACAGACAACCCTCTTTTCCTTACGCTGCCGTTTCCCTTGAGCAGGGAATGCATGAAGTCTCCCCTCTCTCAGTGCGTTGCTCCTCCTTCATCAGGCCGAGTCTCCTCGCGTGGCGCTAAGTCCATATTTTTCTCCGATGTGATTTAATATAGGAATAAGTTAATCGGTGTTAACTGCTGAAAGTTGTTCTGGACTCCCTAAAAAATTATGTGAGTAATTTTTACACGACTTCCAGGTGGTGTACATGTACTTTGAAATTTGAAAAACAGTAAGCGAACACAGTGGTCCCCAAAACATGGTGCCCACTAACTCCACCGCCCAGGTATTGTGAGAGATGCAAACTTAGGGGCCTCATTATAGACCAGCTGGATTCAGAAGCTCGGGCAGAGCCCAGAAACTCGGGTTTTAACACACCCTGTGGGTGATTCTAAAGCTTGCGCAGGTGTGGAAGCCGTCAAGCCAAAGGGGTCTCCGGAGATTGGCTGTGGATTTTCTGACACTGTTCAGGTGGGCAACAAGTCATCAGATTAGAGGATTTTAGACTATCTTTCCCTCATCACCACGTTCATCTGTTGCCATGGAAACTAAATACAAATTTTCCTCCCAGGTCTGCTTGGTTTTATCTTTGCCCTTTTAGTGGCCCTGTGTTAAGTGGAGACACAGACCCCGTTCCTTTTCTTCCGGCTTTGAACCGCACCTTTCAAAAGGCATATTCAGGTTACATTCCCTTAGAACCTGCGAATACGACCTTATTTGGAAAAGGGCTCTTTTACACGTGTGTTAGGAAGAAGTCAGATTAAGGTGAGCCCTAACTGCAGCAGCTGGTGGACAGATTTAAAAAGAGACACAGGAGGGGTAAAGCCCGCAGCCGCGGAGGGCAGAGATCAGTGTTGCAGGCACAAGGGAGCAGCGAAGGGCTGTCAGAAGCCACCAGAGGGGCTGGGGATTTAGCTCAGCGGCAAAAGCGCCTGCCTGGCAAGCGCAAGGTCGTGAGTTCGGTTCCCGGTACCGGAGAGAAGCCACCAGAAACTAGGAAGGGTCGCACAGAAGTTACCCCAAAGTGTTCAGAAGGAAAGCAGCTCTGTCAGGACTGCATTTTCCATTTCTTTCTTTCTGACCACTGGAATTGAGAGGGAATAAGCTTCACGTTTTTATAAAACTCGGAGCTGGTGGTACTTTGTCATGGAAGGCGTGGAACCACATACGGTCCCTGCTGCCCATGCAAGGCCTGCCCGCCCACTTCTTCAGGATCAATAGGGTGGCAGTGAAAATTCTGGCGTCGTACTTGATGTCTAGTTAATTCATCAAAAACAAGGCTTTCCAGGCATTTCCTGAAACAATTTTTCAACTTGGCAGTGTTCGCGTCCCTTCTTTTCTCAGTGCGGAGAACTTTTGTTTCCAGCTTCATGGTCTGGCTTTCGCCCCTCTCCCCTCCCACCTCTGCCGCAGTTCCCGCACTGGCGGCTTTCACCGCATGCGCTCTTCAGAAATTCAAATCCCAAGGCGGCACGACCGTGCCTCTTGGCTGCTGTGCCGAATGAAGCAGGTATGAGGCGCTCGGGGCTGGAGGGCAGGTGGGCTGGACACAAAGAGCTCAGCCTCACTCTGGGCGGTCTGCTGCCTTTGTCCCAGGAGCGCATGGGATATTTTTATTAATTCACTTCTGCTGGTATTTCCAGAGCTTCTTGGAATCATGACCGCTCCCTGCTCCAACCAATCGGATTAATGGGAAAAGGACCTGAATAAGCACTTTTTCCCAAAGAAGGCATACTAATGGTCAGCAAATTCATGAAAAGGTGCTCAGTATCACTAACTGTCAGGTAGAAATAAACCCAAACTTCAGCGAGCTATCATCTCATGCCTGACAGGGGAGCTATTATCAAAAACAGAAAAAATAACAAGTGTGGGTTAGGGTAGGAAAAGGAAGAATCCCTCACTCACTATTGGGGGGGGGGAAGGTAAATTGGTGCAACCATTATAAAAAATAGTGTGACGTTAATTCAAATAATTAAAAATAAATGACCAGAGGACCCGCGCATCTCACTTCCGTAGGGATACCCAAAGGAAAGCATCGTTGCCCTCAGGCGATACCTGTGCCTCCAGGTGCATTGAAACAGCAGTCACGATGGGGAACCAACCAAAATGTGGCTGGAGGAATGGATTTTTAAAAGGTGGTTAATGCGGTCACGTGCCACAAATATTGTCTTAAGAAGGGCTACAGAGGACAGCACAGACACACGAGAAAGGTTTGAGAGAGGACAGAGTGAGGACGCCCATCTCACGGAGACTAAGCGAGTCTGCGCCAAGAAGAGATACTGGACACAGCCTCACTAACCTGAGAGGCAGCGCCAGGCAACTCCGGGAAGAAGGAACTGTGCAGGCGCCTCTAATTCACGTCTGCAGCGGGAGCTCTGCTGTAGATGGCAGAGCGGAAAAGGAAAGATGCTTAACATACAAATCACATAACAAGCCTTTTATTTGTATTTAGACATAAGCTAAGAATATTGGTAGGACTCATTCATTCTGTGAGAAACTGCAGCCTTGTCCTTTCTGTCAAAGGATATAAACGGGAGCGTTTCCATCTTAAACTGCAGAGCACGCTAGGCTGCCCTCCCCTCCCCTGGCATCACGGTTGCCGTTGGTATAGAACTGTCTGTGGCATGGACTCTGGCACAGCTGGTGCCGGGCACTTTCAGTTCCCAGCACAGCCAACCCCCTCAGCCACTCTGCTCAGCATCCATTCAAGCCCTCCCCTCAGGCTACTTGGACTAGCCAGTCCGGGTAGACTGTGAACCTTCAACCCAGCCAACGGTGTGAGGGCGGGGGATGTCAGCTGCAACTCATGCCTTAAGATATGAAAGGAGCCGTTGCTGCCCCTCCGAGTACTTCCTACCTCACCTTGGAGGTGTAGCACACCCTTCAGCAGAAGTAAATTCGCCTTGTTGAGATTGCGTGGTGTCTGAGTGCTTTATCTCTGCACTGACAAATTGAGTCTGGGAATTACTGCCAACAATTCCAATTTCTGCCATTTTTCCTAATAGTCATTAGAGTCTTGAGCTTGCCTGCAGTTTATTCTCAGAGTGATCACCTTCTCCTGTGGAGGTTTCCAGAGCTCAGCCTTGGTTTACTCTTTCATCTCATCTGCCCTCTAAACCAGTTGGAGAAAATGCTGGCATTGTTTTTGGCAAAAACCATATCTTTCGCTAAATGCTACAAGTACTCTTGGGAAGTCTGTGTGGTGGGGTATTGAACTGCACCAATTGCAAGGAAAGACACAGTTTCCACTGAGCAAGGGGCCAGAGAGTTCTGAAGGGAACTAGTGCAAAGGAAAGACACTTTCCAGTCAGCAAGAGATCTGGAGACAGACTGAAATGTTAAATGAAATAGGGAAATTTGCTATTGTTGAAGGGGACAGTGGTTCTTTTGTTAGAAAAACAGCCATGAACACATCCACAGATGCTCACAAGCACAGGTAAAACTGCATCCTACCATTTATTTCTAGGCCTCTGTCTATGAGCAATTTAGGGCCATTATAATTAACGGAGGAATGAGCGAGTGTGATTGATAAACTTTATGATTCCAAAGATCCTCTGAATCCACATATATATATATATATATATATATATATATAATCTTCAAATGTATATTTCCAGTTGGAGGAATATGTGAAAAACATTAAATGTATGCAGTGTATACATCTACATCTACAGTGAAATACATTGTTTTATTGTATACAATAAAATAGAATGCTAGATTGATGGAAGATATGGAGATATATATGCTAGGAATCTGAATTCCCCATTCTGCTCTCCAGCTGACCTCGTGTGACAACTCTACATCTGGACATTTATTACACACCCAGAATTGACACCCTTTGGAAGAAAGCATCCTTCTCTAAACTTCCACCAGTTTTATATTCCATGGCTCAATAAAATTGAAATGTCATTCCTATAACAATATGTGTTAGGTTATCTTTTTTGTTGTTGTTGTTTTGTTTTTTTGTTTTGTTTTTCTCCGGTACTGGGAACTGAACTCACGACCTTGTGCTTGCCAGGCAGGCGCTTTTGCCGCTGAGCTAAATCCCCAGCCCTGTGTTAGGTTATAATTTATGCATAACTTGTAAGTAGAGGGCTTGGAGGATCTTTCCTTGTTATTGCTTTTGTAATACTTTAAATTTAAAAAATTACTTTTATCGCTAGGCAGACATGGCAGACCATTATATCAGACAGTCAATGTTCTTGACACTTTACATTTTAATAATATGGTACTAACTTTCATGTTTCACTTAAGTTGCCAAAACATACTTTAACATACTTTAATATGAGGTATGTTCTGTAACACGGAGAATATTTAAATTTTAAAATTGTGAACTATTACCGTTAATCTCCCTCTGTACACTCCCCCTTGCTTCAGACACACATACCCCTTTGTTCTTGCTACTTCTTGAGGCAGGTCTGGAAGTCTTCTTAAGTATCTTCCGTTGTGCCGTCATGGTTTCGTGTGCTGAACTGATTCAAAATGTTTACCTCCCACGGGTATTTTGGTTTTGGTAAGAAGCCATAAGCCGCACAGCGCCAGACTGGTGAATGAGGCGGATGAGGCGCTCTGTAGTGTTTTCATGTGCCTGTCTTCCCACCAGATGGCACTCAGCAAGGTTACCATGTTTTTGATCACACGTCGTAAAGACGCTCATGAATGAGACCTTCCAGAACTGCTCTGGGAAGTGGCCGGAGGATGGGAGAAATGTTCAAAATGAGGCACAGTTAAGACCTCACCGTGGTACTCCGCAAGCAGCCATGATGAAGTTGAACAGAAGAGATACGGGAGAAAGAGGCAAGGAAATAGGTCACACGTGCAAATCGTGTCTAAGAACATTGTCAATGTGCCTACTGGTACCAGAATAGACCGAAGCCAAGTAGAGCAAAAGTGTACCAAGTTTCCCGGAGAATCAGTTTGCTAAAGCACTCCGAAGTCCAGTATATCAGACAACTAAAACCCTCTAACTGCAGAGCACCCAAACAACCCTGAGAGTCACGTGTACATCGGCAAATATGCTGTGAAATTTCAGAAGTGCCGAACATGTACTCAGCAGTGGCCCCAATGATAGCCACGCAAGATGGGCAGGAAAGAGCCCTCAGAAAGTGGAGCTAAGAGTCACCGAGAAAAGACAGAGTGTTCCGCCTGGACCCACTAGACCACGGGCAGCTGGTTAAGGACCTCTATTTCCTTTATTTTGGTGTGAACTTTCACTGAAAAGATTTTGTGCCCGCCATGTCACGATGTATGGATATTTACTCTGGTGTAAAGCAGGGGGACTTGATAAGTTGAGTCTCTTGAGCACCAACTCCGGGCCCAGGAACAGGACCCATTAATGTCAAGGTTTGAGTCGAGTGAGGGACTGCATGAGACTAAGGTCCCAGTACCACGCTCCTCTGAATCATTATTGCTTGCAGCGTAGCTTGCAGTCTGTTGCTGCTATGCACCTGCTTTGCTCTTATGCCCCAAATTACTTTTGTTGTTTGGGATCTCTTCTGGTTCCATCTAAATTTCAGGATTATTTTCTCTAGATCTGTAAAGTCTGCTACTGGTATTTCGTTTGGGGCTATATTGAATCTGCATAGAGGTTTTGGAAGTATGGCCATTTTGACAATATTTGTTCTGCCTATCCAGGAATAGGGGACATCTTTCCATTTTCCGATGTCCTTTTTAAGTTCTTTTTTCAGAGTACTGTAGATTTCTTTGTAGAGGTATTTCACTTCTTTGGTTAAGTTAATTCCTAAGTATTTCATTTGTCTTGAAGCAACTGTGAATGCTATTGTTTTCATAATTTTCTTCTCATTTCATTCATTGATAGTATACACAAATCTGAAGTTTTGTGTGTGTGTATGTGTGTGTGTATGTGTGTGTGTGTGTGTGTGTGTATCTTATATTTTGCTACTTTCCTGAAATTGATTATTATTTCAAAGAATTTTCTTATGGAGTTCTTTGAGTCTCCCATATAGAGTATCTTGTAATCTGCAAGTAATAATAGTTTGAGTTTTTCCTTTCCTAGACGCATCCCTTTTATTTCTTTCTCTTGCCTAGTTGCTCTGGCTGTGTTTCAAGTACTGTGTTCAATAGCAGAGGTGATGGTGGACACCCTTATCTTGTTCCTGATTTCAGGAAGAATGTTGTAGTTTCTCCCATTTAGTATGATGCTGGCAATTGGTTTGTAACAGATGGCTTTGATCAGATTCATGTATGGTCCTTCTATACTTATTTTCTTCAGGGCTTTTATCATGAAAGGGTGTTGAATTTTGTCAGAATCCTTTTCTGCATCTATTGATGTGATTTTATGGTTTTTGACCATGCTCCTGTTTATGTGACATATTATATTGTTAGGCTTACATGTGTTGAACCATCCTTGTATCTCCGGGAAACTAGCTGATCATGGTGTGTCAGCTTTTTTATAAAGTGCCACATTCTATTTGTGGGTACCTTGTTGAGAAATTTTGTATCTCTGTTCATTAAAGAGATTGGCTTATAGTTTTCTTTTTTGTTAGGTCTTTATCTGGTTTGGGGATCAGAGTTATACTTTGTGTTATTTTATTTTTAATTAACATTTACTATTATGTATAAGAATATAGTTCATTATGATATTTTGAAATATTCATACACTAGGTCCTGACCAGATCCAGCCTCCTTTGACCTCCCCACCTCCTTCCTAGCCTCAGGTTCACATATGAAGTGATATTTGATACTTGGTTTTCCATATCTTGCTTATTTCACTTACTGTAATATCCTCTAGGTCCATCATTTTCTTAACATACTAATGCTGCAAAACCACATTAATCTTAGTTTTTGAAAATTTGGTCCTATAGTTAATATCTCACTTAATGTAGAAATAATAGGGGTATTTAAATTACTAAGAAAGTAGCATGGGCTGATTCTACCACTAGTCAAGATTATACTGAAACTATTAGCTAATATAATTAGAAGAGATGTATCAGTGGTAAAAGAATATATATATTTCAATATATGTAAAGATATATTCCAATATATATAAATATATATTTATAACAATTTGAAAATGATAGGACTATGTATCTACATAATTCAATAATCAACGACCAGGCTAACCTAGAGTATAAAGGAATTCATCAAATTAGGTTATAAAATTATAGAGAAATCTGTAGCCTTCATGTATGAAAAATAAAAGGTAAGAAGTATTTTAACAAGGACAGGATAGAGACCATTCTTTAAGGGACTTGATAATAAATATCTTGACCTTTGTGGACCCCAAAGTGTATGTTACAATTATTCAACTCTGGCACAATAGCATGAAAGTTGCAATAAAATAACATATAAGTAGACATGGCTATGATCCAATAAAATTTCATTTTCAAAAGGAAACATTGGGCTAGACTTGTCCCTCAGGCCCATGTACCAACTACTGTGATAGATAATCAGGAAAGAATTAGCATAGTACTATAAAAATAATGTATTCTTACAAAAAATAAGAAGAAATAAGACATGTTTATGCATTGAGTAATTTGTTCCAAATGAAGAGTATGAAGAATAAACCACAGATCATGGGATACTGATCACCTACGAAAGGTGAGTGAGACAGAACAGCAACAAAAATGAAAAGAAGTGAGGGAAGAGAGACACGTCTCCTGAAGGCAACTGTCGTGGTTCTGCTTTGGAGAATCATATAAATGTTTTATATAACTAAAAAATACACTCAACAGGAACAGAGGAAACCCTAGATAAAAAACAGAAGTGACTGAACTGTACTAGCAAATGAACACCATAGCCACACTGGAGGAAAGGGTACTAATATTTAGGAACATTTAAACGTAACATTTGGATTATAATCTCTCAGGTTAGAGACAAAAGAACTGCAGAAAATGTCAAGCTGCAGTTGGCAGGCTTCAGAATGGCAGGGGTGTGAATTAGCAACGCTGACACTGTTTTCTGTGTGTCTTGTGACAGTCCTCCTCACCGGATAGACATCTCATGGGCAGCAGCAGACTGGATTTGCACTGGTGGCAAAACAGCGTACAAATACAAGAAGATAGGACTGAGCTAATTATGAATTACTAAATTTGATGCTGATTTTTCTTCATGCTTCACCACAACCCCCATAGAGGCAGCTGGGGATCTTGGCCAGGTTCCTGATGTTGGCATGTGTACAGGGACCACCTACATTGAGGCCTGAGAGGGAAGACCCACCCAAGTGGGAGAGACAGAGGGTGTGAGATGGTGAGAGGATCCAAGGGATGAAGCTGGGGACACTCGAGCAAACGTG